TGGGTTGCCACTTGCTTCTCCAGGGCATCTTCCTGACCTAGGGATAGAACCCAGATCCCCTGCACCGCAGGCAGATCCTTTACTGTCTCAACCACCAGGGAAGCCCGTACTCCACATCACCAGTTCTCAAATTGAATTCATCTTTGAACACAGCATTTTTTTTGTTCTGTGCTATCCTGTGTGATCAAGGCAACAGATAGATATGGAGGCATATGGCTGCACATCTTCATTATGATGGCCTTCACATCAGTGAGATTTCACATTCAATAATATATCAGTTTCTCAAACTGTTGAGGCAACTCCAGAGAACTGTGTGCTCAGCTGTTATCATGTCTGACTCTTTGGGACCCTATGGACTGTAGCCTGCCAGGCTTCTCTATCCATGGGATTTTCCAGGTAAGAATTTCTTCCTCCAGTGGATCGGCCTGACACAGGGATCAAACTCACATCTCCCGCATCTCTTGCATTAGCAGATGGATTGTTCACTACTGAGCCTCCTGGGAAGCCTATACTAGGTGAAAATTTTCTGAATGATTCATTCTGGTACAGTTTACATTGAAGAAAAAGAGGAGGTTTAAGGTAACTTTCCTTCATAGTCATCAGCCTCGTTTCTCTTTTTTCCCTACAACACATTCAACTAGGTCTTGGCATATCAAGACAAACATCTGCAAAAGCACATGCCCAGAAGCTCATTTCTCACATGTAAAAGTTAACAGGCTCACCAAAACTGACATAGATAAATCACCATCACTATCTTAGACTGGATCTAATTGCCAAAAATGTAGAGAAGCAGTATCTTTGAGAGATTTACTTATAGGTCACATTTATCATTTCATCTTAAAGACGCAGAAGCCATGTAAACACAACTTAATTATAACAGACCTATCAGCTAGTGCTTTCTACCACTGCATGAAGAAATACAGCAAAATGGTAAGTTGGGAAATAAAATAAGTGTGATTCATTTTCTATGTAGATTTTAACTCTGAAGAGTGATTTATGAAACATTATTTTAATATTGATTATTGAAAATTCCTGAGAAAAAAATTGAAATACAACTGATCTAAGTCAGAGGATATCCTTGAAAATTATAAACATTAAATGTTAAATCAGAGGACATATAATTCAGACAAAGGTAAGCACCTCAAAAGCAATTTGGGCTATGAACAGAAAGATACTGAATCTCCTATGTGTGAGGCAGAAATTCTTCTCCACGTCCTACAAGGCAATCCTACCTGCAGTGATGCATACGTGAATATACAGTGAGAACCAGACAGGAATTACTACCAATGAATAAAGATTCTACTTCTCTAAAGTTTTTTTAACTTATTTCTTTATTTATTTATTGGCCGTGTTGCACAGTTTATGAGTTCTTAGTTCCCTGACCAGCAACTGAACCTGAGTTCTCAGCAGTGAAAGGGTAGAATCCTAACCACTGGACTGCCAGGGAATTCCCTTAAATTTTTTATTTTTTAATTCTGATCACATCTATTGTTAAACTCAATTTGCACCAAGATTAAGCACCTCTCAAAGGTTATCCAGCAAATAAATAAAACGTCATGGCATGCCCATCGTTTCTGACTATATGCCATTACACAATACAATATAATGGTATATGAAGTCAACTGAGCTTCAGCTTTCAATGTGAGTTTACTTTCAAGAAATTACCCTAAAAGGGTAAATTCTTAGAATAATGCTCAAACTACCACTTTAAGACCTACCTGCTTTAAAAAATTGAGTTCTGCTTGAAAGACCAAAAAAAAGTTCTTAGACATGGTTCATTTATTCATTAAATATTTAATGTATTCTGTACTAAGGATTACAATCCCTGCCCTATGACAATCAAACTCAAATAAAAAATACACTGCAGTAAATACTAAATGATGTGCTACAATAGACTATATAAAAAACAAAGGTATTAAGCATGATAATAAGACTAAGATAATTAGGAGAGTCTTCCCTGAAGAGATCATAACTAAATCAACTAAACATTTTAATTTTAATTGTAGGAATTACACACAGACAAAAGGTATTAAGTAAGAGATTCAGCAAATATATTTTAAGTGGAAAGCTAAACTGGGGAACTAATGAGATAAATTTGGAAAAGATAGTAAACCTAATTGACAGATTGATTTTACGCTCAACATAACAGGAAATAGATTAGAGGGGGCGTCCCAGGTGGCAGAGTGGTGAAAAAAATTCTGCCTGCCAACAGAGACAGAAGAGATTCGGGTTCAACCCCTGGGTTGGGAAGATCCCCTAGAGAAGGAAATGGCAACCCACTCCAGTAATCTTGCCTGGAAAATTCCATGGACAGAGGAGCCTGGCGGGCTAGAGTCCAAGGTATGCAGAGTCAGACACTGAGAACACACATACACATAATAGGAAATAATCCCATACTACAGATACTCGGATAACAGAAGCAGAACATGAAGAACATGCTAACTGATGAAGGTATTTCTTTCACATCTACATGTAGGACAGACTATAATACTGAAAATAAAACCAGAAAAACTGTCTCAGTTACCCAAAAAGTAAGGTGATAAAGGTCTGTGTGAGAAGCTGAAGAAGGCTTAGTGTAGCCAGGTGACAGGCTAGGTGGGGTGTTACAGGAGGGACATCTATTAGTGTCTCTTTGTAGCCAAAGTTACCACAAAAACCAACAAGAATTCCTGGGCTAGAGAGAAACTTAAAGGCCCAGAGGTCTTCAGAGTAGGATCCTTCAAGAAGATAACACAGCTATAATCTCAATGGTTCATATGTAGATACTCTTATTTCCATGAGGATCACACAGTCTTAGGATTGTACAAAAGTAAAACTTATTCCATTAACCACACCAAAGTCGGCCACCTGAATTTTAAGTCCAAATTGATACTATGAAATAAAATTCAACTACAAGTTCAAAAAAGGTGTTCCTAACACACTATGGTGTTGGAGAAAACTCTTGAGAGTCCCTTGGACTGCAAGGAGATCCAACAGTGCATCCTAGAGGAGATCAGTCCTGGGTGTTCATTGGAAGGACTGGTGCTGAAGCTGAAACTCCAATACTTTGGCCACCTCATGCAAAGAATTGACTCATTGGAAAAGACCCTGATGCTGGGAGGGATTGGGGGCAGGAGGAGAAGGGGACAACAGAGGATGAGATGACTGGATGGCATCACCGACTCGATGGACATGAGTTTGAGTAAACTCCAGGAGTTAGTGATGGACAGGGAGGCCTGGCCTGCTGCGATTCATGGGGTTGCAAAGAGTCAGACAAGACTGAGCAACTGAACTGACCTGAACACTTTAATGCCACCCACACTTTAATGCCTTTGGTGGAAGATCTCTGTGATACTATTATTCTTAAGTAGAAATTAATCCTTACTCATGAAGAGCACTGAAAATATATCAAGATCATAAACTCTTGATGTAAACAGTGATGGCATAATGACTCTTGCTCTGAGATTGCCTATTCCATCAACCCACTTGAAACAGACACCATCAGCGACTTGAGGAAATTCAAACAGCAAACAGGTTATACCACTCATGTGATTCTTGTTAAGATGCTACCCAGTACTTGGTCATGAATTATAGCAGGCAGGTACACTTGCAATAAACTGTTTTGTCACATCAAATTTCCCCTTTTTTTCTACCTAAAATAGGCCCCAACCTGAAGAACAGAAAGGAAGAAGAAAAAAAAAAAAAAAAAAAACCAAGCTAGCAATTAAAATCACTAAGGAAAGAATAAGTGGGAAATATTTCAAACTTCATAATGCTTTATGACCAGAAATACTAAATGATCATAGGTAAATAAAACTGTCATCATAAACATCAAAAAGAACTCACAGGAACTATAATTTATTAAATCAAAGAAATCACACGTTTTCATATGCCATTAATAACGATGAACAAATTACCAGGCAACACAGTCGGGGAGAGGGGTGCTGAATCCAGTTTTTGATGGAAAAAAGTGTCTAGTAAAGAGAATCCCAAAATGAACCAACAGGCCTCCGCGCTGACTGATGGCATTTTCCACGTACCAAATTCAAAGGAAACGTCAAAAAGCACACCCTTACACAAAAGGAACCATCCGCAGACAAAGCTGACTATAAAAAGAGGGTGACTGCTAAAAAGCCAATAAGCAAATTTATACATGCCGAGGTGCTTTTTCATTTGAGAGAGATCTTGGGCGTTTAATTACCTGTGAAGAAAAAGGAAACAGATCTGAAAAGGGGTCTCTTGCACTGAATCGCCCTTTTAATGAAAAGGAGGCGAGGTCTTAGAAAATTCGTTTCTAGAAGGCCCGATTCAAAAAAATCTGGCTCTCCCCAGAGCCCCAAATCTGGGACAGGATGGTGCACCAGGCCACGCAGCGCCCGAGGCTGAAGCCACCGCCAAGCGCGCTCAGCCTCTGAACCGCGTCCCTCCAGAAACCCAGAGGCCTTGACTTGCAGGTTGCTCACGTGACCCGCCACTCAGGGCACGTCTGCGCCCAGGCTGGACCAGTCGGGCCACCTCGCTCCCACAGCAGCCTCCGAGGATCGGCACCCCAGAGCGGACCTCGTTACGTGGGTTGGCACCCCTAGGCCCCCAGCGGGCAGCCCACCTGCTACACTCACAGACAACAACCGTTCAGGCCCTTCGCTGCCACTCCTTTCTCTGCCCCGGCTCTGGCTTTTGGAGAAGCCGAGAAGTATTTAAAACAAGTTGTACATCTCCTGCGTTCCCCAAACGAGATGCCGAGGCGCCGAGCCAAACCCCCGGCCTCCCACCACGTTCCGGGGTACCCGCACCCGCGCCCACGGCGGCGCCTCCGTTAGGCCAGCGCCGAGGCTCGGGGTGGACTGGGGGGCGCCCCGGAGTTCCCCCGCTGCCCGCCGGTCGGCCTGCCCCGGGGGGCGTCCCGGGGGCCGCGGGCGGAGGGGCGAGGCGGCGTCCGCGGAGCCGCCGAGGGAGGGTCGGGGTGCTGCTGCCCGTGAGCCGGCCGGAGACGGGGACCGCGGAGGGGCGGGCGGGCTCACCTTGTTGAGGTGGGGGTTCCGGGTGACGGCGTAGCCGCGCTGGGGGGTGTGGCGGCGGCGAGGGGTCCCGGGCTCCATGGCGGGGGGCGAGCGTGCGCGGCGGGTGGGAGCGGGCCGGGAGGCGGATGCTGCCGGGACGCCGGAGCGGAGTGCGGCGGCGGCGGCGGCGGCGGCGGCGCGGAGAAAGGGCCGGGGGGCGGGCGTGGGTGGCGAGAGGGGGTGGACGCGGCGGGAGGAGCCGACGAGGAGCCGGTGTCCCCAGCCGGGCCGCCTGCGAGAAGCGCTGAGTCATGGCAGGCATCAGGCGAGCGGCGAGCGAGGAGGAGGAGGAGGAGGAAAGCGAGGCCCGGGTGGCGCCTTTCCTTTCCACACGCCCAGGGTCCCCCCGCTCGCCATCGGTTTACAGTCGCAACCGTCCCGGCCCATCCCTGCGTGCGGGACGTGCTTCCCGTGGAGCACCTAAAGGGCGGGGGGCAAGGTCAGGCTCCCCCGCCCGGCCCGGGGGTACCATCACCGCTGGCCGAAGTGCCCCCCGCAGCCGCAGCCGCGGGGAGGTTGAGAAAGGATGGGAAACCCAGAGCCTCGGGCGGAGGACACAGGCTGCCCCGGCCCAGAGGGAGACCCGTGGGGAGGGCGGGGGAGCTCTTTGCAAAAGACCTCAACTGACCGATGACAATTAGACTTCATCTCTAATTCATCTAATTCATCTCAGCGTCTCCTATCAGACGCTTCCAAACGCTCTATTCACAATTCTGGATGCCTGCCAGGGCCGGAGGAAGCTTCCAACCTTGACCCAGAAAGCCTCGGCCCCGGGTAGAACTGGGAGAAAGGCCAGAGAGGAGAGTGCCATCCCTGGGAATTTTATTTTAGTGCTTTCATTAAAAGACAAGGTGCAAATGTGAGATCCCAATGAACAGTCACGTTTTTCTTGTATACGTTGTTCCTAAAAGTTCTGGAGACCAGGATGTTTAAGAACCTGCCTCTGAATGATGACAATAAAGCCCTCAATCTTTAAAGGCTTCAGTTTCTTCTTTGGTAAACCGAGAAAGTCAAAGATCTCCCAGCGCTGGAATTCTGGTACTGATATTTATACTTTTAAGTTTCAAGGAATGTTGAAGTAGTCATATCACAGGCAAAAGGGGTGTTCACACACTAAACGCTTCCTGTGCCCCAGTTTCCTTTTCAGTTAATAGGATGGCTAGTTTCTGCCCTGTTCCTACCCAATGGTTTTATAAAGAGGTGTGTTTGGGATTCAGTATTTGATTTTATATCCCACTTGAGTATTCGTGCCTGGAGAATCCCATGGACAGAGGAGCCTGGCAGGCTAGGGTCCATAGGGTTGAAAAGAGTCACACACAGCTGAAGGGACTTAGCACAACACAGCAACACACTTGATTTTATATATCCATAAACTAGACATTCAACCAAAGAGTTTTATTTCTAATTATGTTACTTTTCCTTATCAGAAAGATTTGTTACAGTAGTGTTTTTTGCCACAGGTATATCCAGCAGTTTCTTAGTCCTGGTCTTTAAATTATCTCGAATCAGTTGCTTTTTAATAGGGAATATTTGTGTCACAGAATTCTTTTGATTCCTTGTATTTCGGTAACACTTTTCACTGTAGGTTTTATAATATATAAATAATTCACCCAGCAACATCTGAGAAGAAGGTATACTTTACAAAACTCACTCTCTTGAATTAACTCAGGCACATTGCAATTAAAAGTATTTCATGGAAGACAAAAACAGTTCAATGACAGGCCTGGAAACAAAACACTTTGCTGAAAAAGAGACAAAAATGTGAGTACAACAGAGCCTTATTACAACACAGCTCTTAGTACATAAATTTACACACATTATCTGTCTAGTCCTAGTTCTGTGATATATTTACAGATAGAAAAGCTGATGTAAATATAGAGTAGTCCCAAAAAGTGTGGGCTTGTCCCCCAAGCCATTATTACAGAGGGATTACAGGATCCTGCCAATGCAGGTAAAGTTCACATCGTTCTTCCATTACGTTTATTTCTGTCTTGAAAAGAGCTCCAACCCTCTAGGGATGAGGCCTAGCTAGGGAAGCCATTTTGTATATCTGTGTGCAGTACCAAAACTACTGGAAAGAACCTATTTTTCCACCTAAATGTCAACTAGGAAGGACACCATCTTTTTCAATCCTTTTTAAAGATTGTAAGGTTAGGTTTTATTGCAAAAAACATGTGAAAAAAAAAAACCCAAACAACAGAAAGAAAACTTCTGTTAGAATTTTCCTTGTGAGAAACTACAGTCACTCTACACACAGTTGATCAAAGAATGGGTGTGATTCACAAACAAGGGATTAGAGTCTGTAGTTTCTGATGCTCAGTGAGAATACTATATCAAAATCAGATTTTTTTGTTGCTCAAGTTTGATGCACAATGAACTGTAATCATATTTAAGTATGATTACAGCATTCCAACCTAATGTTGTTGAGGTTTCACAAAGAGAAAATTCAGGAAATACCTAAAAGTACATGTAACATTTCAAATATAAGTTTCATGAGAATAAAATATAATCTAATAAAATAAAGATGTAGCTCTCTGATGGTTTGTGGTATTAAGTGAATGATTTTGTATTTCTTCACACAAAAATACATTACTGTTATATAAAATAAGTTCCCCCCCTTTTTTTTTTAGTTGAATATCTTAACATGCCTGACTCTTGGTTTGTTTCTCTATGAAGCAAAAAACTTTGACTTTTTAGGGTTCTAATTTTGAGAATTCCAGTGTTCAATATAATAAGAGAAGGTCTACCAGAGTGGCTGACCCTAAAAGTTCAAAATCAAAAGTAGGCCGCTGGGGGAATTCCTAATACAAGGCTTAGACTGGGCTTAGACTCCTAATACAAGGAGGCCCAGGTTCAATTCCTGGTCAGAGAACTAGATCCCACATGTGGCAACTAAGAGTTCACATGCCAAAGCAAAAATTGAAGATACCATACTGCGACTAAGACATGGCACAGCCAAGTAAATAAATATTTTTTAAAAAACAGACAGCTGACTCAAAGCTGGCCAGCCCCAGGGTAACTGGCAACCATGGCGAGAGCTGACTTTTTCCCGACATACTGCAGTGAGATCAGGACTTGAATAAGTGTTAACATGGAGCTGGCAACAGTTGACCTCGACCCATCTTAGGTTGTCAGCTGGGACTCTAAGAAGATGACATATTAACAAAAGAAAAAGAGTTTGTCAAATAACACAGCACACATTATTCAGGAGAAAACTGAAATGAAGAGTGGCTAAAGCAAGTAGCCTAGAACTGCAGCCTATACATCATCTTCAACAAAGAACAATAAATCGGTAGAGAAATGACAAAGGAAAGCAGTTTTAGGCTTCCAAGGGCGGCAAACTAGGAATATGAGTACATGAGGAGAAACTAATAGAATAAGATTTGTTCACAGATTCCTCTGGTCCTCATATTTTGGGGTGACAACCTGGCTTTACCTGACTCTAAGGAATCCCTGATGAACCAAGCTCTTAGTTATTGGTATTTGAGTGTTATAGTAAGAGGTGAAATGGGTGCGTGAGTCATTTCACTAGATTGTTTTAAAGAGATGTATGCTTATTTTGGTGGTGGTTTGGTCACGTCATGTTCGACTCTTGTGACCCCATGGACTGAGGCCCTCCAGGCTACTCTGTCTGTGGGATTTCCCAGGCAAGAGTACTGGAGTGGGTTGCTGTTCCCTTCTCCAGGAGATCTTCCTGACCCAGGGATCAAACCCCTGTCTCCTGCTTTGCAGGTGGATTCTTTAGCAACTGAGCCACCAGAGAATCCTTGTACCCTTATTTTAATCTATTTGAAAACAAAAGTCTACACAAAATCCCCATCCTCTGAGGCAATAGTCCCCAACCTTTTTGGCACCAGGGACCAGTTTCATGGAAGACAATTTTTTCACAGACCGGGATGGGGGGATGGCTTCAAGATGATTCAAGCACATTACATATATTGTGCACTTTATTTCTATTATTACATCAGCTCAGGCATTAGATCCTGGAGATTGGGAAACCCTGCTCTAGGAGGACCCTACAGAATGTCTAGAGCTCCACAGAACACAACTTTTTTTGAAGAAAGTAATATCCTTCTTTATTAACCTTGAAAGCATTATCTCCACTGTTAGGAATAATGTAATACCACTTCATTCTTATTATATATAGCAATCATTAAATATATATGAAAACATATACAAAAATATAGATACTGCATGGTGACTTCATAATTTTGGAGTAAATCCATAGACTGAGTCAGAATAAGCATAAATCATTTATAGCTTAACTGTTCATTTATACCTGAAAAAGTTTTCATTAAGCACACTAATAATTTTCAAACGATATAATAAAAATATGCTTGCAGTATTTGGCTGAATTACATTTGGGAAAAAGAAGCTAGCTGTTTCACCTATTTCAATACTAGTATACTCTGGATCATATTATACATGTACAGAAACTTAGAAGATCATAAATCTCCCAAGAAGAGACATTACTTAGCCTGTGTCACTGATATGTATCTGTAAAGCATTTTAACACTGCAAACATCAGAAGTTTCAAGATGCGGCACTGGAAAAGGTATATACTCCACTACAGTGATGCTGAATACTTCTTCACAATGCCTCTTCATGATGTCAATCAACTGGAAGTGGGAGTTTATCAATGAGTTGCTTGATATCCATCACTTCTAGGCGACATGAACTGGGTTTTTCAGGTTACATTGGCTGGATTTACCAATGTTTTTAACTTTTCTACAGTAAGAGAACTGACTATTAGAGAAACTTAAAGGAAGTAATCTCCATGACCCTGAAGACAGAAACTTCTTTATTAGCACCACTGTTAGGACCCTTGTTGGAAGTCAGCAACTGAACACAGTGTTAACTGCCTGTTTCTGCTGAATGGTAACAGTGGTGGACAAAGATAAAGCTCCTACCTGAAAAAGATCCATCCAAAATGATAATCTTAAAAGGATTAAAGGAATACTCTTCTTCACCTCTTGCTCTATCAAAGCTTTTACATTTTCTGCTGCCTATTTAATTCCAAGTTTATCCTCCTGTGAATA